TTTCAATTCAGCTTCTTGCTGATGCAGCCTAGGAGGTAGCAAATGATGGCTCAGGCCCTTGGGCTCCCGCCACCAACATGGAGCTCCTGGATCCTGGTCTCAGGCCAACCGAGGTCTGGTTGTTGCAGGCTTTTAGGAAGTGAACCAGGCCGGCGCTGTGGCTCACTTGGTTAATCCTCCGCCTGCGGCGCCGGCATCCCATATGGGCACCGGGTTCTAGTCCCGGTTGCTAATCTTCCAGTCCAGCTCTCTGCTGTGGCCCGGAGGGCAGTGGAGGATAGCCCAAGTGCCTGGGCCCCTGCACCCACATGGGAGACCAGGAGGAAGCACCTGGCTCCTGGCTTTGGATCAGTGCAGCTCTGGCCGTTGCGGCCATTTGGGGGGTGAACCAACCAAAGGAAGACCTTTGTCTCTCTTTCTCTCACTGTTCTGTAACTCTATCTGTCAAATAAAAAAAAAAAAAAGTGAACCAACAGAACAAAGATCTCTCTCTCTCCAACATTTTGCCTTTCAAGTTGATAAAAATAATTAATATATTTTTAAAGAATTATTGGCCAGCGCCGCGGCTCACTAGGCTAATCCTCCACCTGCGGCGCTGGCACCCTTGGTACTAGTCCCAGTCGGGGCGCCGGATTCTGTCCCGGTTGCTCCTCTTCCAGGCCAGCTTTCTGCTGTGGCTCAGGAGGGCAATGGAGGATGGCCCAAGTCCTTGGGCCCTGCACCCGCATGGGAGACCAGGAGAAGCACCTGGCTCCTGCCGTAGGATCAGCATGGTGCACTGGCTACAGCGGCCATTGGGGGGTAAACCAATGGAAAAGGAAGACCTTTCTCTCTGTCTCTCTCTCTCACTGTCCACTCTGCCTGTCAAAAAAAATTATTGAAAATTATTTATTTATTTGAGTTACACAGAGAGAGAAGGAGAGGCAAAGAGAAAGAGAGAGAAGAGGTCTTCCATCTGCTGGTTCACTCTCCAACTGGCCACAATGGCCTGAGCTGCGCCAGTCTGAAGCCAGGAACACCTATGGGTCTCCCACATGGGTACAGGACTTGGACTTGGACCATCTTCCACTGCTTTCCCAAGCCACAGCAAAGAGCTGGATCAGAAGTGAAGCAGCTGAGACTCGAACCGGTGCCCATAGGGATGTTTGCACTACAGGTGTCAGCTTTACCCGCTATACCACAGCACCAGCCCCATAAATATATTTTTAAATATTCATTTATCTGAAAGGCATAGTTACAGAGAGGCAGAGGCAAAGAGAGAGCAGTCTTCCATCCACTAGTTCACTCCCCACATGGCTACACACTGGCCGAAGCCAGGCGTCAGGAGCTTCTTTTGGGTCTCCCACATGGGTACAGAGGCCCATACACCTGGGCCATCTTCTACTGCTTTTCCAGGCCATTAGCAGGGAGCTGGATCAGAGGTGGAGCAGCCAAGACTCAAACCAGCGCCCATATGGGATTCCAGCACTGCAGGCAGCAGCTCTACCCATATGCCACAGCGCCAACCCCAATAATAAACACTTTTAAAAAGTAGCGGAGCCAGAAGCTCCTGGCTAAAGATGGGCTCAGTTCCAGCCGTTGCTGCCAACTGAAAGTGAACCAGTGGATGGAAGACCTCTCTCTCTCTCTCTCTCTCTCTCTGCCTCTGTAACTCATCTTTAGAATAAATAAATAAATCTTTAAAAAAAAAAAAAGTGCTATGGATTTCCAGTGTTGGGGTACAAACATTTCTAAAAGTTCACTTTTTAAAATGTGTAAAGCTTTATAAGTTTTGAAGCTCAGATTCGTGAGCATCACACATGGCACCATTATAGCTGGTTTTCCAGAAGACACAGCACAACGTGATTCTGAGGACAAGACAAACAGAATGCCAGACATCAAAAAGGGTCTTAAGGGGCTAGCGTTGTGGCACAGTGGGCTAAAGCCCTGCCCTTAGCGCCAGCATCCCATGTGGGTGCCAGTTTGAGTCCCGGCTGCTCCTCTTCCCATCCAGTTCCCTACTAAATGAGCCTGGGAAAGCAGCAGAGGACAACCCAAGCCCTTGGGCCCCTTGCACCCATGTGTGAGACCCAAAAGAAGCTCCTGGCTCCAGCCTGACCCAGCCCTGGGCACTGCAGCCATTTAGGGAGTGAACAAGTGGTTGGAAGACCTTTCCCCCTCCCTCTGTAACTCTTTCAAATAAGTAAAATAAATCCTGGGCTGGCGCTCAGGAGTAGCAGGTAAAGCCGCCACCTGAAGTTCCAGAATCCCATATGGGAGCTAATTCGAGTCCCGGCTGCTCCGCTTCCGCTCCAGCTCTCTGCTGTGGCCTGGGAAAGTAGAAGAAGATGGCCCAAGTGCTTGGGCCCCTGCACCCACATAGGAGACCCGGAAGAAGCTCCTGGCTCTTGGCTTTAGATCGACCCAGCTCCAGCCATTGCAGCCACTAGGGAGTGATCCAATGGATGGAAAACTTCTCTGTCTCTGCCTCTGCCTCTCTCTAACTCTGCCTTTCAAATAAAATCTTTTAAAAATAAATAAATTTTTATTTTAAAGTGACTACCTTGGAATTTCACAACTCATGTTACTTACCTGAGGAGACACTGGTATTCTCCCAGTTCATTCTCAGGACCTGTCTTCAGCTCCTCAGTAAAATAAGCTGAATAACTAAATGCTCAATTTCCTCACCTAGGAGTCACCTTCAGAACCACCTAGGCACCAGAGTCGTGGCACAGTGGGTTAAGCCACTGCCTGTTTTGCCAGCATCCCACATGGGTGCTGGTTCAAGTCCCAAGTCGGAAGTGGAGCAGCCGGGTCTCAAACTGGTACCATATGGGATGCGGGCATCACAGCTGGAGACTTAACCTGCTACCCCACACTGCTGACCCCCCAAGTTGTAGCCACTTTCATGGACTAACAGTTAATGTGATATTTCTGGAACTTACTCTTACGCTGCATGTCTGATCCAGCTCCCTGCTGATGTGCCTGGGAAAGCAGCAGCCTGTACCCATGGAGGAGACACAGATGGAGTTCTGGAGGCTGGCTCAGCCTGACCCAGCCCTGGCCTTTGTGGCCATTTGGGAAGTGAACCAGCAGATGGAAGGTGTCTCTCTGTGTATCTCTGTCTCTCTGTTACTCTTTCAAATAAGTAAATAAATCTTGAAAAAAAAATTTTCTAAAAATTCAGACAACCTTCAAGTTATAGACTCTCTCCTCCAAAAGTACTTACATATTCAGCAAACTAGACTTTTAGTATATGTGCTGCCAAAGCGAGCACCAAACTAGACTTTTATCACTCCTTCTTTCACTTAGCAACTTATGAAATCTAAACCATCTATTGAGCTCTGTTGTCCACTCACTCTCAGGTACTTTATTCTTATTCCCTCAAAACAGGCAGATTCGACCTGGTACTAGTATTTTGACCATTTCAAATTCAGTTATAAAGAACTTGTTATCACACCTGAACATCCTATGTATTTATTATTTAATGTTGCACCTCTAACTTCTAATAAACTTAAAATACAAATAAAAATTTACTTTCCTTTCTACCCAAACAAGTCTCTTCCATCATGTTCATTAAGTGGCCCCAATTAATTCTTTCCATCCTCTAACAGAATATTTTCTACTGACTTGAAAGCATCAAAGGTGCTCCTAGAGTATTTTTTGGTCTGCCTATTTTTAGTTTGTACTTCATGCCAAGAAAAAGAAACATAAATTAAATTTCTTTAAATACTCTGGAGGTGCCGGCGCCGCGGCTCACTAGGTTAATCCTCCGCCTTGCGGCACCGGCACACCGGGTTCTAGTCCCAGTTGGGGTGCCGGATTCTGTCCCGGTTGCCCCCCTTCCAGGCCAGCTCTCTGCATGGCCCGGGAGTGCAGTGGAGGATGGCCCAAGTGCTTGGGCCCTGCACCCGCACGGGAGACCAGGAAAAGCACCTGGCTCCTGGCTTCGGATCAGCGTGATGCGCCGGCCACAGCGCACCAGCCGTGGCGGCCATTGGAGGGTTGGAGGGTGAACCAACGGCAAAAGGAAGACCTTTCTCTCTGTCTCTCTCTCTCACTGTCCACTCTGCCTGTCAAAAAAAAAAAAAGAAAGAAAAAAAAAATTTTCCAAAACAGAAGTCTCTAACAGAGAAAAATCCAGAATTTAAGTAGTTGCTCAGAAGATATAAAGTTTATTAAGAATCAGATGCAAATAAATACAGTCCAACTATGTTTCAACAGGAAATAAAATGGTTTAATAATTACTTCCTTCAGATAACGTTTAGCAGACTAAGAGATCTAAAGAAAATCCAACTGTTTTTCAAGTAATTTGTGTCCCACCTCAAGGTAATATCAAGACATATTTTCTGAAACTGAAATCACAAAGTACAAAACGGCTTTAAACATAACAAATGAAAACAGAATTCCACATCGATTCATTAACATGCAATGAATTCACCAAAAAGATGAACAATGCTACCAGCAGAGGCCTGGCCAGTTCTCCATGAACGGGTTCCCAATGCTGGCTACACAGCACGCGTCTGAAGCACTGGGAGCAGAAACACTACACTACCATTAATAAAAGCTGTCCTTAGTGAAGCTATCCTATTAAAAATGGGGGGGGGGGGGACGAGAGTGATTATCCCAGCATAAGCACATACAATTCATTTATATTCACATCAGGCCAGGGAACCTGAAAAATTTTGCATACTTGTTGAGTGAGGTTAAATATCAACTTCCGGTACCAAAGGATATAGCAAAAACACAAACACGGTCACATCTACTTTTGTAACTTTACAACCCACGGCTTAATGAAAGCATGAAAAGCACTCGAACCGTTTACAGCTTACCCACTTAGCACAGAGCCCATCAAAGTTAACAGAACAAATGAGACACCGGCACTAGCGGGTAACCGCTGCTGGAAACCCAAGCACTGGTTTCAACAAAGCACAGAAACGCTTTTCCAAAATTATCCGACCCCGACTCCTGCACCCACACACACAATCCCACCACTCGGGCAATAACAAGCAAAAAGTCACCTTCTTCCAAAAAGCCAAGAAGTGGGTTTCGGGGGCACGACTTCCAGGCGAGCAAGCTACTGGTATCTGCACACTTTACCCAACACCGCCACAGACCGGGATTCCCAGCTGAATTGGCACGAGAGCCAGCACGCCCAAGGAGCAATGTGGAGCGGCGTACGGAGGGACACGACGTCCTCTTACTCCGCTCGGGCCCCGCCGCCCCGCCGGACCTCAGCGACCCCGGGAGCCGGCCACCCGCGCTCCTGTCACCTCCGGGGAGCACCACCCGCTGGGGCTCGACTCCGGCTCCGGGGCTCGGCGCTGCGGCTGGGGAAGAGCGGGGTCTTCCCGGCGAAGCTGTAACGGCTCCGCGTCCAGGGGCAGCCCGCAGGCCAGGAGGGGCGACCCCGGAGGAGAGCCCGCGACAGCCCTCGGGATCCCCGGCGGGGGAAGCCAGGACAGCATCCGGGCACTCGGGCTCTCCCGTCTCCCCGCGTGACGCCGAGCCCGAGGGTCGCCTCCCACCGCGGAGGGCTCTCCACCGCGACAGGACTGGACACCCGGCAGGGGTCCCGCGGAGAGAGGAAGGGCGGACCGGCGGGCGCCCCACAGCCGGAAGGGGCGAGCCCCGCAAGCGGCACTCCCGCCCCGGCCGGGCTCACCTTCAGGTCGTTTTCTGGCAGGTACTTGCACAGCCGCGCTATCTCCACATACTTGTCCAGGTCTAGCGGCGCCATTTTAGGAGGAACAAGCCGCGGCGGCGGCGGCGGCGGCGGCGACGGTACTAGCGGCGGCAGCGGCGGAGGCCGAAGCCGGAACTCTCCCTACGTCACGTCCGGCCCGTGAGTGGCGTCTGCGCAGCGACGTTAAAGCTTGACCGGATTCTCCGCGCCGCCCCCGCACGTCCCGCGCCCTCGCTGACTGATCCCAGGCTGCAGCCCGAAGAGGTCCCCTCAATTCCGCCCGCGAAACCTGCTGGGACCCGTAGTTGCCTGCCGCGGGGGTTGCTGGGATTTGTAGTTTTCAGTTGGAGCCGGCTTCTCTTTTTCCTCCTCTTCCCGGTACTTCACCCCTGGAGACCCGGCAAGGCTTATCGGAGGCAAAACGGCGAAGTAGGTGACCTGAGCGTTCTGTGGCTTCTCGTTGCGACCCTTTTAGGCCCTCTCTCAACAGGACATCCTCAGTTAGAAATTGGGTAAGCCTGCCCGTAGTAGCCTGGTTGCGCCTTTCCAAGGTTTTGCAAAAACCTCGGTTAAACCTGTGGCGGAGAAGCCGAACTCCCAGTCGTCTGGTCTTGAGGATGAGAAAGGAAATGTCAAAGCGTTTCTTGTACCGGATGCCGCAAGGGTTCTTTTATTCTGTGTTTTCTTCCCCGCCCCACTCCCCTTCCCCCATTAATTCTCATGATTGCTGGGAAGGTAAGGCTTGGAGACCCTACGTAACTTGCCCCACATGTCACCGGAAACGAACGGTAGAGTCAACATTGGAAAACAGGTCAGCTGGCTTAAGCAGACCTCCGTGGGAGTCCCACGAGGGAGGGAGTTTAATGTTGTGTCCCCAACCGAGTAAGATCACCTGGCACTGAGTAGGCCTTCAGCATTCATTGAGGCATTCGTCATTCCGCAGCTGTTTACCAAACACCAGCCATGGGCCAGGTACAACTGCAGGCGCTTGGGATACGCAGTCAACACAGTAGACAAAGACGGGCGTCCACAGCCTGTGGTTGACAGCTAGGACGGGAAGACACCACGCTGCCATCAATGCATAGCGTTTGAGAAAGTGACGTGTGCTAGGGGAACAACGCGGCAGAGTAAGGACATGAACTTTGAAAGCCATCTAAGAAGTGGGGGAGTTGCCCATGCAGCTACCTGAGGGATATGATAGGGAGGAGCTGGTGCGGAGGCCCTGAGGTGGACGCCTATCTAAAGTCTTCGGGAAACAGCAAGATTTGTGTGGTTGGAGCAGAAGTGAGAGGAGTAGGAGAGATCAGAGAGAAAAGGAGAAGAATACTGTGGTTTTTTGTTTTGTTTTTTAAGGATTTATTTATTTGAAAGTCACAGTCACACACAGAAGGAGAGAGAGAGACAGTGAGAGAGGTCTTCCATCTGCTGGTTCACTCCCCTAATCAGCCACAATGGCTGGAGCTGCTCTGATCCAAAGCCAGGAGTCAGGAGCTTCTTCCTGGTCTCCCACACAGGTGCAGGGGCCTAAGCAGTTGGGCCATCTTCCACTGCCTTCCCATGCCACAGCAGAGAGCTGGATCAGAAGTGGAGCAGCCGGGACTTGAACCAGCACCCATCTGGGATGCCAGCACTGCAGGCGGTGGCTTTACCCACCATGCCACAGCGCCAGCCCCTGCTTTTTTTTCTTTTAAATGAAATGGACTGCTATTGCAGGGTTTTTAGCACAGGAGTAAAATGATGTAGCTTGTTGTAGAAGGATCACTCTAGCACTCTGGGGACTCCTGGAGGGCGATGGTTGCACTGAGAGATCAGTTGGGAGGCTGTCACATGATCCAATCATAGTAGATGTTCAAGAGCTGGCATTGTTGCAAAGTGAGTTAAGCCAGCAATTTCGACACCAGCCCTGGCATCCCATATCAGAGCGCTAGTTCCAGTCCTGGCTGCTCTGCTTCCCATCCAGCTCCCTGCTAATGCACCTTGGAAGGTGGCAGAAGATGGCAAGTACACATAAGAGATCAGGACGGAGTTCCTGGCTCCTGTCTTTGGCCTGGTCCAGACCTGGCTATTGAAGCTATTTGGGGAGTAAACCAGCAGAAGGAAGACCTCTGTCTCTCCCCATCTCTCTCACTCTGCCTTTCAAATAAATTTAATAAATATATGTTTTAAAGGAACAGATTGTAGTAAATATTTCTTGCTCAAGAGACCCTATACTGGGATCAGCTCAGGAAGTTAAACCTCTGCCTGCAGCACCAGCATCCCATGTGGGCACCTGTCCCTGTTCTGGCAGCTCCTCTTCCCATCCAGCTTGCTACCTGTGGCCTAGGAAAGCAGTGGAAGATGGCCCAAGTGCTTGGGCCCCTGCACTCACATGGGAGACCCAGAAGCAGCTCCTGGCTCCTGGCTCCTGGCTTTGCATGGGCCCAGCTCTGGCCTTTGTGGCACTTGGGGAGTGAGCCAGCAGATGGAAGACTTATTTCTGTCTCCTCTCTCTGTCTATAACTCCACCTCTCAAATAAATTAAATATTTTTTTTTAAAAAAAGACCCCAGACTGAATGCCCTAAAATGTATCTTCAGGGCAGTTAGCTAAACTTTAATGACATTTTTTTTTGAAAAAAAGATTTATTTATGTGATAGGCAGTTACAGAGAGAGAGAGAGAGAATCCTCCATCCTCTGGTTCACTCCTCAGATGGCTGCATCAGGCAGGGCCGGGCCAGGCCGAAGCCAGGAACCAGGAGCTTCTTCCACGTCTCCAACCTCTTGGGCCATCTTCCACTACTTTCCCAGGCCATTAGCAGAGAGCTGGATGGAAAGTGGAGCAGCTGGGACTCAAACCAGCACCCATATGGAATGCCTGTGTTACAGGTGGCGGCCCCATCTGCTACACCACAACACCTGCCCCTTAATGAGATTTTTTTTTTTTTTAGGATTTATTTATTATTTGAAAGGCAGAGTTACAGAGAGGCAGAGGCAGAGAGAGAGGTGTTAGAAACACTGGTTCACTCCCCAGATGGCAGCAATGGCCAGAGCTGAGCTGATCCAAAGCCAGGAGCCAGGAGCTTCTTGCGGGTCTCCCATGTGGGTGCAGGAGCCCAAGGACTTGGGCCATCTTCTACTGCTTTCCCAGGCCACAGCAGAGAGCAGAAGTGGAGCAGCCGGGACTTGAATCAGCGCCCATATGGGATGCCAGCACTAGGCAGCGATTTTACCCATTACACCACATCATCGGCCCCTATTGAGATCTTTGAGTCAAGTTTTTTTTTTTTTTTTTAATTGTTATCTAAGTCGGAAATTGTTTCTTTTTTTTTTTTTTTTTTTTTTTTTTTTTTTTTTGGACAGGTAGAGTTAGTGAGAGAGAGACAAGAGAAAGGTCTTCCTTCCGTTGGTTCACCCCCACAAATGGCCGCTACGGCCAGTGCAAAGCGCCAATAGAAGCCAGGAGCCAGGTACTTATCCTGGTCTCCCATGGGGTGCAGGGCCTAAGCACTTGGGCCATCCTCCACTGCACTCCCTGGCCACAGCAGAGAGCTGGACTGGAAGAGGAGCAACCGGGACAGAACTGGCGCCCCAACCAGGACTAGAACCCGGTGTGCCGGCGCCACTAGGTGGAGGATTAGCCTAGTGAGCCGCGGCGCCGGCCAAAATTGTTTCAAAGTAAAACTAATTGTAAAAAGTCTGTTGCAGAGCAGAATGAATCATGTCCACAAGCATTCATTTCTTTGTTCATTATACAAATTGTTTTATCTTGCCTATGATGTGAGTGAACGAAAGACAGCCCTGCCCTAATGGAACTTACGGTCTGGTAGGGGAGACAAATAGTAAACATATAAATGATCAAATATTTAATTGCAAAGTATGATTAGTACTTAAAAGGGAAAGAAAGTACTTGAGTAGGAAAAATGGCGCAGAAGAGACCATCATAGGCTGGCAAGACAGTGGAGGCAAAGCATACAGCCCTAGCAGTAGAGGCAAAGGCCAAATACCGGCTGCAGTGTTCTCAGCTCCAATGTGGAGATAACAACAGGCCTGCCTCTTACAGAGATAAGAGTAATCCTACCTGGTGAACTTGACTCAGAACAGTATCTACTCCAGAGTCGAGTGCAGTGTGTTAAGTTTTGTGTATCATGTGGTCAGGAAAGAACTTTCTGAAGAAATAACATTTAAGACATTAGAAAAAAGAAAAAAGAATATGCCCAGAATTTCTTGGAGAAAAAAATTCCAAATGAGGAAAAGATGCTATTATTCTTTGCCTTTATTTTTTAATTTTTTTTTTTTGACAGGCAGAGTGGACAGTGAGAGAGAGACAGAGAGAAAGGTCTTCCTTTGCCGTTGGTTCACCCTCCAATGGCCGCCGCGGCTGGCGCGCTACGGCCGGCGCACCGCGCTGATCCGATGGCAGGAGCCAGGTGTTTCTCCTGATCTCCCATGGGGTGCAGGGCCTAAGCACTTGGGCCATCCTCCACTGCACTCCCTGGCCACAGCAGAGAGCTGGCCTGGAAGAGGGGCAACCGGGTACAGTATCCGGTGCCCCGACCGGTTTAGAACCCGGTGTGCCGGCACTGCAAGGCGGAAGATTAGCTTAGTGAGCTGCAGCACCGGCCTATTTTTTAAATATTTTTAAAATTTTATTTATTAGAAAGGCAGAGTGACAAGAGAGCAGAGAAAAGGAGTGTAAAAGAGATCTTCCATTTGCTGGTTTGCTCCCCAAATGGCCACAATGACCAAGTTAGCCAAACTAAGGTCTCCCATGTTGATGGCTGGGGTCCAAGCACCTGGGCCATCTTCCACTGCGCTCCCAAGCACATAGCGGGGAGCTGGATTGGTTGCAGAGCAACTGGGACCCAAACTAGCACCTGGGTATGGGATGTCTGCCATGCAGCCAGTGGCTTAACCTGCTATACCACAACATTGGTCCTTGGCTTGCTTACTTGTTCTCTCTCTCTCTCTCTCTCTCTCTCTCTCTCTTTTATAACCCTCTTTGGAAAGTTGCTGGTTTACTCTTCATCTCTGAACCTCATTCATTGGGAATAAATCCTACTCAAGATAACTTCTCAGAAGTGGGAAGGAAAATAGGCAAATAGACATGTGTATTCTTTATGAAGTGCTTAAAGGGAAGGTGTCATTAGCATCCACTGTTTGCTTGCGAATGAGCCGCTTAACAGTGCAGTGGTGTCCCCTCTTATGAAAGATGGCAGAACGATGTGCAGTAAGAAGCTTCCTCTCGCAGACCCGCCTCACTGAGTGACCCTCACCCTTCACGTCCATAGCAGACAGGAGGAAAGCATCTCTCAGGGGCAGGGCAGAAGACGGGATCAACACACCCAGTTTTGACTGGAGACAGCCTACCGATGGCTTTGACTGACAGGCATTCTTTGTCTTCCACAGAGCAGACTTGGGTTCCTGATTCTACCACTTACATAGGTGAATCATTTCAGACATTCTTTCCAGCATTCTCAAATGTAATTTCCAGCCTAAGGGCATAGATCCCAGATGAAAATTGGCTGGAGGCCGGCGCTGTGGCTCACTTAGTTAATCTTCCGCCTGCGGCACTGGCATCCCATATGAACTCTGGTTCTAGTCCTGGTTGCCCCTCTTCCAGGCCAGCTCTCTGCTTGTGGCCCGGAAGTGCAGTGGAGGATGGCCCAAATGCTTGGGCCCTGCACTCCATGGGAGACCAGGAGAAGCACCTGGCTCCTGGCTTCGGATGGGCGCAGTGCCGGCCATAGCAGCAATTTGGGGGGGGTGAACCAATGGAAGGAAGACCTTTCTCTCTGTCTCTCTCTCTCACTGTCTAACTCTACCTGTCAAAAAACAAAAAACAAAAAAAATTGGCTGTTGCTATTCACCCAGAAACCTCGTCCAGTGTTTCCCCTCTAGCCTGGCACCTTGAAATTGGGCTAGTCAAGAGATGCAGGAGCCGTCAGAGCATTCTGCGGCTCTCAGCAGAAATTTCCATCGAGGCGTTCACGAACACACGGCAGAGCCAACCTGACCCTGATTCTGCTTCCTGAAGAAACGACTGAGTCAGTCCTCCTAGGCTCTTTGGCATTATTAGGGGAATGCACAGACTCCAGGGTTTGAAAGTGGATCAGCCGCAGGCCTTGAATTCCATTTTCTCTAAGTGTTGGTTATAGTCTCAAATAGATAAAACACTGACCAAGTCCTGTCTGCCCAGGAGGTGTACTATCCTCCTCCTATAGGTGAGGAGAGGAGGGTCCAGTGAGGGTGGTGGGCTAACTCGACTCTGGGAGCCCCTGTCTCCAACCTCACATGTGTCCTCCGGGTCCTAGGATGGGACGGTTTCACATACACTGCAGTGAGCCCCCTCTCTTTTCGGGAAAGTCTCAAGTTCTGAATGGGATCAGAGACACTGCCGATGAACACACCTAGAAAAGTGGCTCGTTTAAGGCCAGCACCAGCACGCATCATCTGCATTTCCCAGCGCAACCCGCACCGAAACCTTCGTGCACATGGCCGGCCACACCATTCCTAGCAGCCGCTGTAACTGAAAACGTAGCTGTTGACGCCTGCATGCAGGATGCTGCCCAGGCATCTGGTCACCCAAGTGCACACTCACCCCCACCCCTTCCAAGTGGTTTCCAAGTAGACGAGGCTAGTTTGCTCCCTCGGGAGAGGCGGGCCCGGCGGACCCCCGACCCCGGGGAGCTGCGTTCAGGCCGCGCCGGGCCAAGGGGCGGGGCGGACAGCGGGAGCCGAGCTGTCGGCCCCGGCGCTCTTCCGGGCCCGGGGGCGGGGCGAGGGACCAAGCCCCGTCCCCGCTCGGGCGGAGCCACGGCCCGCGACTGGCCTGAGCCGCCACAGGTAACGTGGTCCCGGGTCGGGGGTCTGGGGCCTGAGCCGCCGCGGTCCTTAGGCAAGTGGGCCTGAGCCCCGAGGAACGGGCAAGGGACGGTCCCCTTGGGGTCCAGCCTGGACACGTTGGCCGAAGGGAGCCTGCCAGGTCTCTCCCGACCCTGTCTCCTTCCCCCTGGAGCTGCCACCCCGGGGAGGACGGGCAGCGGAGCGGTGAGAGTGGAGGGGCGGCCGCGGGGGAGTCCCCGCCCACGTGCGGGCCGCTCCTGTGCGCTCCGGACAGCTCGTGGCCTAGGCCGCGGTGGGGTTTATCCATTAATTCACACGTTATGCGGGTCTGGTGGTTAGGTTCTTTGAATGAATCTGACCGGCCCAGCACTCTAGGAATTTAGTGGAATCTAGCCTAGAATCCATTCAAGAGATATTTATTTATTTATTTAAAGATTAATTTGAAAGTAACACGGGTTGGTGGGGTCGGAGAGACAGGGAGAGAAAGAAGCATGTTCTATCCTCTGTTTCACTCCCCAGATGCCTGCAAGAGCCAGAACTAGGCCTGGCTGAAGCCAGGAGCCAGGAACTCCATCCTGGTCTCCCACCTGAGTGCAGAAACCCAAGTACTTGGGCCAGTACAGAGAAGTCAGGACTTGGACCTGGCACTCTGGTAGTGCTTAACCTGCTGCACCACGACACCCTACCCACCCCTCCAGAGACTGTTAAATGGATCATTACATTCAAAGTGGTACCTGCAAGGGTGTTGTCTGAGTAAGCAAGTGCTTGAAGAAAGTTCATGGAAAGATGAAATTAAAGGATAAGGTTCATTTTGGTGTAAAAATAATTTGAGGGGGCTGGTGCTGTGTTGTCAGCTAAGCCTTCCCCCGTGGCTCCAGCATCCCATATGGGTGCAGGTTCATGTCCCAGCTGCTGCTCTTCTGATCCAGTTCTCAGCTTATGGGCCAGGAAAGCAGTGGAAGATGGCATAAGTGCTGGGGCCCTTGTACCCACATGGGAGACCTGGAAAGAAGCTCCTGGCTTATGATTGGCCCATCTCCAGTCAATGCAGCCATTTGGGGAGTGAACAAGCAGATGGAAGATTTCTGTCTCTTCCTCTCTCTAACTCTGCCTCTCAAATAAAATCTTTAAAAAAAATAAATAAAAATAATTTGAAATCCTTGCAAAGTGTTTTTCATAATCTACATTTTTCACAAGCTTTTTTTTTATTTTTTATTTTTATTTTTTGACAGACAGAGTGGACAGTGAGAGAGAGAGACAGAGAGAAAGGTCTTCCTTTGCCGTTGGTTCACTCTCCAATGGCCGCTGCAGCCGGCACGCTGCGGCCGGCACACCGCGCTGATCCGATGGCAGGAGCCAGGTACTTATCCTGGTCTCCCATGGGGTGCAGGGCCCAAGCACTTGGGCCATCCTCCACTGCCTTCCCGGGCAACAGCAGAGAGCTGGCCTGGAAGAGGGGCAACCGGGACAGAATCCGGTGCCCCGACTGGGACTAGAACCTGGTGTGCCGGCACCGCAAGGTGGAGGATTAGCCTAGTGAGCCGCGGCGCCGGCTCACAAGCTTTTTGAAGAGCCTTATCTGCATAGATTTCAAAATTTTTCACCAAAATAAATATCTTTTCATTCCATTTTCCCATGAACTTTTTAAAGTCCCTTGGTAGATCTACCTTCAAAGCAGAAGGAACTAGCTTGGGAGAGTGGGGGTAGAAAGCAATAAATTGGAGAAAGTTTATTTGAACTGGGCTTAGGAGGTTGACTAGGAGTTTTCATGTTTACTGGAAAGGAAGGGAGGCCAGCCCTGTGCCACAGTGGGTTAAGCTGCCACCTGCAGTGCCAGCATCCCATAGGAGTACCAGTTCAAGTTCTGGCTGCTCCACTTTTGATCCACCTACCTGCTAGTATTCCTGGGAGGGCAGTGGAAGAGGGATCGAGTACTTAGGCCCCTGCCTCTCATGCAGGAGACCCCGATGAAGCTCCTGGATTCTGGCTTCAGCCCAGCCCAGCCCCTGCCATTGTGGCCATTTGGGGAGTGAACCAACAGATGGAAGATCTCTGTCTCGCTCTTTCTCTCTGTCTCTGTCTCTCTCTTTCTCTGAAAGTCTGCCTTTCAAATAAATAAATAAATAAATGGGGAGGGGGAGGGGAGACATTCTGGATAGGGGAAGTCGCACAGGCTGCAAGTTGTGAAAGTACCTGCCCCACGATAGAGAACAGCAAAAAGCCTAATCTTATTGCAAGAGCTGTGAGTGGGGGGTGTTTGAGCCTAGAAGGCTTTGCCAAGATTTCTCCTTGTGTTCAGTATTTCTCAGCCTATTAAAATGTTTTATCTATGGCTGGCGCCGTGGCTCACTAGGCTAATCCTCCCCCTTGCGGCGCCAGCACACGGGGTTCTAGTCCTGGTTGGGGCGCCGGATTCTGTCCCGGTCGCCCCCCTTGCAGGCCAGCTCTCTGCATGGCCCGGGAGTGCAGTGGAGGATGGCCTAAATGCTTGGGCCCTGCACCTGCTTGGGAGACCAGGATAAGTACCTGGCTCCTGGCTTCGGATCAGCACGATGCGCCCGCCGCAGCGCGCCGGCCGTGGTGGCCATTGGAGGGTGAACCAACGGCAAAGGAAGACCTTTCTCTCTGTCTCTCTCTCACTCTCCACTCTGCCTGTCAAAAAAAAAGTGTTTTATCTTTATTATTATTCAAAAGGCAGAGAGACAGATGAGAATACAAGAGCTTCCATCTGTTGATTCATTCCACAAATGCCTGCAACTGGTAAGACTGGGTTGGGCTAAAGCCATGAAATGAAAACTCAGTCCAAGTGTCCTACATAGGTGGCAAGGACCCAACTATTTGCCATCACCTGCTGATGCAGGCCCAGGGTCTGTATTTGCAGGAAGCTGGGATTGGGAGCCAGAACAAGGAACCAAATCCTGCCACTCATATATGAGATGCAGATACTTTAACTACTAAGCCAATCACCCACCCCTGTTTCATCTTGGGTTTTTTTTTTTTTTTTTCAAATTTATTTATTGGAAGAGAGCTATATGCTCACTCTCCGAATGCCTACAACAGCCAGGGTAGGCTAGGCCAAAGCCAGGAGCCAGGAGCCAGGAACTCTGTTCTAGTCTTCTACATGGATTGCAGGAACTCAGGTACTTGGTCCATCATCTGCTATCTACAAGGTGCATTAGTGGGAAGCTGAATAGAAATTGAGGAATAGGGGTGAGCGCTGTGGCACAGTGAGTTAAAGCCCTGGCCTGCAGCCCCGGCATCCCATTTGGGCACTCGTTCCAGTCCCAGCTGCTCCACTTCTGATCCAGCTCTCTGCTATGGCCTGGGAAAGCAGTGGATGATGGCCCAAGTCCTGGGGCCCTTGCACCCATGTGGGAGACCCAGAAGCTCTTGGCTCCTGGTTTCTGATCGGCCCAGCTCCAGCTGTTGTGGTCATTTGGGGAGTGAACCAGCAGATGGAAGACCTCTCTGTCTCTCCCTCTCTCAAGTAAATAAACAAATCCTCTAAAAATTTTTTAAAAATAAATTAATCAGTTGCAGGGGCCAGTGTTTGGCACAGCGGGTTAAGCTGCAGCCTGTGATGCTGGCATCTTCTATAAACCTGGTTCAGGTCCTGGTTACATTGCATCCAATCCAGCTCTCTGTTAGTGTGCCTGAGAAAGCAGCGAAAGATAGCCCAAGTGCTTGGACCACTGCTACCCACATGGGAGACCCAGTGGAATTTCTGGCTCCTGGCTTCAACCTGAACCATCCCAGACTGAATCAAGGAGGATGACTGGATTTGTTCTGTGTTTTAGGAAGATGATAATCGTAAATGTCTAAAAAAATGCCTGTCTTTCTTATGCCCAGGACGCCATGAAGGAGCTGCCAGTCTTGGAGCCTGGAGACAAGCCCAAGAAAGCAACATGGTCCGTAAGGAAGGATTCAGATACAGAAAAAGAGTTTGTGTTTCATTTATGAGTAGTTTACTAGCATATTTGGAGTTGATGAGAAAGAGTAGAGATGAAATGGCAGCTTTTGGTAATTAAACTGAGAAGGTCTGCAGGGGGAAGATGGGAGGTGATAATTATCACAGAGCAGATGCTGATTTTATTATAAGCCATTTACTAGGGAAAGTAAGGCACTGACCATCTGCCATCTTTAGCTGCAATGCTGGGTCTTCCCTTGAGCTGTGACTCATTTTTAAGGTTTTTTAGGGAATTGGAGTTGGATTAAACTGGCCTCACTGTTTTCTTGGCTGCTTGTTTAACCAACCCTTCATTCAGCATCCAACACTGGTCTGACAGGCAGCTGCCGTGTCGGCGCTAGAGGTCCAAAGGCAGCCACTCCTGTGTGGCGGGAGCTGCAGACTGAGCAGGAGACAGTGGTAACAGGTGGGCAGTGCTGTGGCTGGGCTCACAGAGGCTGCTGGGGGGTGGCAGTATTGCCTTGGTCCCTTAAGGGAGCCTCCCATCTGACTTCTGTTACCCATCTTGCTTTAAACCCAACTTATATTGTAATCATGGCATTCCCTAGTTTAAGTCCCTTTTGTGCCTCCCTATTGGTCTCAGGGTAAAACTAGGCTCCTTGAGCTGCCCCCTGGGCCCTGCGTAATCTGTTTCTGCCTGTGCTTCCCACATCAATCCTCTTACTCACTCCTTTGTTCTCTTCCTCTTCCTTTAACACGTTGTGCACTGTGCCACTCAGAAGTGTGCCGATCCTTCTGCTCGGACCAACCACTCTTTCCTTCCACCTTTCATCCCTCTCTTTGCCCAGCTAATTTCTACTCATACTTCCCATCTCAGTCCAAATGGTGCTTCTTCAGGAAGCCGCCTCTGCTCACCCCAGTAGCTACCTCTGTTTCCAGCATAAGGCCCTCCTGTGATTTGTTCTCAGAATACTACAGGTGCAAACCCTGTGCCCCTTTATGCCACCCTTGAAATGAAGTGATATTCACAAGATTGTCTAAGGCTTCTCTTCTCACTTGTTGTAAGAACTGTGAAGGCAGGAACTTTTTTTTTTAAATAATATTAAGAAATTTAAGGTGCTGGTGCTGTGGCATAGCGAGTAAAACCATCTCCTGCAGTACTGGCATCCCATATGGGCGCCAGTTCAAGTCCCGGCTGCTCCACTTCCGATCCAGCTCTCTGCTATGGCCTGGGAAAGCAGTAGAAGAAGGCCCAAGTCCTTGGGCCCCTGCACCCACATGGGAGACCTGAAAGAAACTCCAGGCTCCTGGCTTCGGATTGGCCCAGATCCCAGCCGTTGTGGCCATTTGGGGAGTGAACCAGCAGATAGAAGGCTTTCTTCTCTCTCTCTCTCTCACTCTCTCTCTCTCTCTCTTTCCCTCTATCTCTCTGCAACTCTTCCTTTCAAATGAATAAAAATAAATAGATCTTTTTTAAAAAAGAAAGAAATATAAGACAGCACCAGCAGAGCCTTAAACTAGCAGTGGAGCCCCAGCATGGTTAATGCTGTGCAGTTGCCCAAGTCACACACCCAGGAAGCTGCCTCTGATTCCAACCCGGTTTTTACTTCCCCGGATCAGTACAAAATGGGTGCAACAATGGGCCTGACTGGCTCCTGGAGCATGGCTCTTCCATTCTGATTTTCTGACAACCAGGAGACCTAGTACCAAGAAGACGGCTTCTCAGTTCTCGGGGCTCATGCAGCGGAGAAGCACCCTGCTCCAGGGGCCAGGCTCTTCCCTTCCCACACTCATGTGGTTTCCAGTGATTATGCTGTGTAGTATTCAGTGAAAAGGAATTTGGTAGTCTGCCCCCTCCAGACCAGTACATAGGGAATGAGTCAAGGCTAAATCAGCCCTACTTTAAAAGAAACAACTGTTCCTAAATGACATGTAAAAGTAATAAACGTTATTTGAGCGTTTATATCAGTGACTATGCTAAATCCTGTTTATTTATTTTTTCTATTTCACTAGTATACATTATATTTTTTTTGTACTCTGTTACCACAGCTCAAGGTGAACATATGATATTTGTCGTATTTGTCTTTTTGGGACTGGCTTATTTCACTAAGGATAATGCTTACCAGTTGCATCCATTTTGTTGCGAAAGACAGGATTCCATTCTTTTTAGGGCTTAGTAGGATTCTGTAGTGTACATATACCACATTTTCTCTTTCTAGTCACCAGTTGATGGGCATCTGGGTTGAGTCCATTGTGAATTGAGCTGCAAGCAGGGACTTTTTTTTTTTTTTTTTTTTTGTCTTATTCACTAACTGGTTGGTTGTGTGCTCTTGGGTAAGTTACTTAACATTTTAACTGTTGGAAGCCACAGTTTCTCAGTTATAAAACTCAGATGATGATAATAATGCCAATCCGCAAAGTGCTTTTGTACCAATTAAGTGGAACTGGAGCTGTAATGTAGTTAGTAGCATGCATAGTTCATTGTTAGTACAGGTTGTGTCTCTCTTATCTGAAATGCTTGAGACCAGAGTGTTTATGAGTTTTGGAATATTTCCATAGACTTTATTGGTTAAGCATCCTTAATTTGAAATGCTGTTGAGGGGCCAGCACTGTGGTAGAGTGGGTAAAGCCACTGCCTGCAGTGCCAGCATCCCATATAGGCGCTGGTTCGAGACCCAGCTGCTCCACTTCCCATCCGGCTCCCTGACATTCAAAAAGTTAAGGTTTTGAAGCACTTTGGGTTTCGGATGTTGAGATTAGAGATGCTCCACCTAGAAATTATTCAGGTTGTGATGGGGTATGTGTTTGTGGACATCAAGAGCGGTCTGAACTAGAAGTAGAGACCTGGAAACCACTGATGCATGTATAGACAGATGGGCACTGAAGCTCTTGGTATAGATAAAAGTGATTAGACAAGCAAATGCAGAGTAAGGGAAAGAATCCTGAGGGTGCTGAGTGAGGAAGAGCTGACAGGGAAGGAGTCAGAGAAGGAAACAGAAAAAACTGCCAGAAAGGTGGGGAGAGAAACAAAGGGGAGAGGTGTAGGGAAGCCAGACCAGAGGAACAGGACAAGAAGGACAGCGGGGTCACGAGAGCCAGTTACTGAAGAGTTCACTAAAATAGGGCCTAAAAACACCGGTGGAGTTTTCTTTTCCAGCCAAGATGCTTGAAGTGTGTTTTTTCAAAAATCATTCAGAATAACTTTAGAGAGTAGAATGACTGGATCTTGTACTTGGTTTTTCCAAAGTTCTGGTTTGGTTTCTATCAGGGTGAGCTTTGTGTATAACGTGGAAATGCTCAAAAAGTCAGTTAATCCAGGAGAATATGTGCAATGGTAGGAGCCTTGGAGCTGTAGGTTTCTGGGTGATTGCGCATCGAACAGTAGCCACCATTGGCTGAATCCTTTCCTGCACTGTTATGAGGATGTTTTCTTTTAGTCTTCACTGTCAACTTTTTTTTTTTTTTATCTTTTATTTAATGAATATAAATTTCCAAAGTACGACTCATGGGTTACAATGGCTTCCCCCCCCATACCGTCCCTCCCACCAACAACCCTCCCCTTTCCCACTCCCTCTCCCCTTCCATTCACATCAAGATTCATTTTCGATTATCTTAATATACAGAAGATCAGCTTAGTATACCTTAAGTAAGTATTTCAACAGTTTGCTCCCACACAGAAACATAAAGTGAAAAATAATAGATGATTTTTTTAAAATGATGATGAAATCAGATCAGACCTATTGTCATGTTTAATCCCAGTGAGAGTCAAGTTGGGAATTGATAATTTCTTTCTTTTTTTTTTTTTTTTTTTTTTTTTTTACAGAAGATCAGTTTAGTGTACATTAAGTAAAGATTTCAGTCGTTTGCACCCCCATAGAAACACAAAGTGAAATATACTGTTTGAGTACTCGTTATAGCATTAAGCCTCAGTGTACAGCACGTTAAGGACCGAGATCCTACATGAGGAGTAAGTGCACAGTGCACTGTCAACTTTTTTAAAAATAATTGTAATGTAACGCTGAAGTTTACTCTTTTTTTTTTTTTTTGGTTAAATATTTACTTATTTACTTGAGAGGCAGAGTTACAGACAGAGACAGGGAGACAGAGAGAGAAGTCTTCCATCTGCTGGTTCATTCCCCAAGTTGTTGCAATGGCCAGAGCTGCACTAATCCAAAGCCAGGAGCCAGGAGCTTCTTCCAGGTCTTCCACACAGGTGCAGGGGCCCAAGGATTTGGGCCATCTTCCACTACTCTCCCAAGCCATAGAGAGTGCTGGATTGGAAGTGGAGCATCCAGGACTTGAACCAGCACCCATATGGGATGCTGGCACTGCAGGTGGCAGTTTTACTCACTATGCCACAGTGCCGGCTCTGCCACTGTCACCTTTTAAAAGGAGAACTACTTCTATTCTGATTTGTAAAAAGAGGAAGGTTAATAACTTCCAAAAGGTAAATGACTTCCAAAGGGTCATACACTAAAAAGTATTTAAGGTAGGACTTGAACTAGATCTGCTTGAATTCACAAACCATGGTCATAACCTCTATACCAGTACACATTTCTGAGTGTCAGTTTCCATGTCTACCAAATGGGAATGATCACTAGCTCAGTGCATCCCCACTACATTCCCACGAGATGAAAGTGTGATAGAATTGAAAAGCCAAGGACTGTGACCAAAGGGAAGGCGTTGTTACTAGAAACAGGGAAGTGCTGGTTTGCTGCATACAGTTTAAGTGTCTATGTGTAAGACTTTTCGTTGCCATGGCATTTCATGAGGAATGGAAAGAACACGCTGCTCCATTGACTCTCTGCTCAGGCCTTCTAAACACATCTTCCCTTTGGCAGGTACACCTTGACTCCCCATGGAGAGAGCCCCTGTGCTCGAGTTGGCCACAGCTGCTCCTATTTACCCCCCGTTGGCGATGCCAAGAGAGGGAAGGTCTTCATTGTTGGGGGAGCAAATCCAAACAGAAGCTTCTCGGATGTGCACACCATGGATCTGGGTAAGACCAGCAGCTGTGGGGCACAGCTGGCTTTGTGCATCAGCCGTGACTTAGAGCATTCCTAGGTGTGGCAGTTCAGATAAGACAGCAAGTGTTTTCCTCTAAGAGATGAGCATCACTGACAAGTCCCTGAGATCTCAGCAGACTCCTGGCACACATCCACCTGACAAATGCCCCTTTGTTTTAGGAAGGAAAATCCTTATGGACCCCTGGTCACCCAGCCTTTCGTACATCAAGCATTTCCTGGGGAAATGTCCACATAGCTAGTTAACCACCAGGTCCTCCCATCTCTCATCCTCATGCCTGTCTGGTCATTTTCACTGTTACTACTGCCTCTTAACTAGACTTACAGTGTCTTCATTGGTCTCCCCGCTTCCAGCTGTACCCAGGTAGGCCAGTTAAGGAGCCTGCATCCCATGTCAGAGTACCTGGGTTTGCGTCTCAACTCCAGCTCCCAAGTCTAGCTTCCTGCTAGTGCAGACCCTGGGAGGCAGGGGTGATGGCTCAATTGAGTCACTGCCACCTATGTGATAGAGCTGGCCTGAGTTCCCCAGGCTCCTGACTTCAGCCTGCTGTCTCTCTTTCTCTCAGATAACAAGTATAATGTCTAATAGGTTCGGTATTATTGTTCTGTGAACTTGTTTTAGTCATAACTCATTTATTACAGATAACTTAAAACCAGCAATAAATGGAGGAATGTACTTATATAGCTAGAGGAATATTTCGCCAAAGTCAAGGGCAGAAATACAGCACAGCCTCCTGAGAGAGTAGAAGCAGTGGCTCTGATTGGTCCATTCTGGGTCAGGTGACTACTTCTGATCCAATCAGCCAAGGCTAGAAAGTTAAGTTGTTGTAGAAACGTGTTGTCTGGGATCTACCCGGGTGATTGGGAGAATGGAGACAGTTTCCATGGACAGGGTCTATGGACCAGGCAGACAGTGCCCCAGAGTGTCTCCTGCCATACCTTTGGGAGCTTAACCACCTTCTCTTTCAGTGACTTGGTGGTTGCTCATGTTTGCTTTGGCCCTTTTCTCCTCACTGCCCTCCCCAAGTTTGTCAGTGTAAGCAGTTGGCAGCCCCAGTATAAGAACGGGATGAAATGTCTTCTAGGAGCGCACCAGTGGGATCGGGCCAGCTGGGAGGGCCTCTTGCCCCGGTATGAGCATGCCAGCTTCATTCCGTCCTGCGCTCCAGACAGTATCTGGGTGTTTGGAGGTGCCAACCAGTCAGGCAACCGAAATTGTATACAAGTCCTGGAACCCGGTAAGTAGCCAAAGCTTACTTTATTTACATGCATACACAAATCCAGTAATAATTACAGTAAATTTGGATTGTACTGATTAATCCATTTAACTTTGCTGACCTCATAGATCATAGGAATTTTAACTTGTAGCAAATCTGAAAATAATAGAATTGTATATACATATTTGTAACATAGACAGTTATCAACTCCTTAAGTGTCAAAGCTGGAAAAGACTTTAGAAAACAGCTATGCTGAGGCTGGGGCTGTGGCATAGTAGGTTAAGCCTCCGCCTGCAGCGGCAGCATCCCATATGGGCACCATGTTTGAGTCCCGGCTGCTCCACTTCTGATCCAGCTCCCTGCTAATGGCCTGGAAAAGCAGTGGAAGATGGCCCAAGTGCTTGGGCCCCTAAACCCATGAGGGAAACCTGAAACAAGTTCCTGGCTCTTGAAATCACCCAGCTCTGGCTGTGGTGGCTATTTGGGGAGATGGAAGACTTCTCTATCTGTAACTGCCTCTCAAATAAATAAATCTTAGGAAAAACAAAAAAAAAACAGCTATTGCTGCAATAAGTATCTCAAGTCTGTGGAGACAGCGGTGACTGAGCTGGGCTAGAACCCAGCTGCATGTCCTATAATGCACAGAAAGCCTCCATAATAAAGGATCACCTGGTTTAGGGGCAGACGTTTGGCACTGTGGTTGAATGCCCCTGGAGATACCACATCCCACATCAGAGTGCCTGGGTTCCAATTCCAGCTTCCTACTAATACAGACCCTGGGAGACAGCTGGTGATGGCTCAAGTAGTTGGATCCCTGCTACCCAAATGGGAGACCTAGATTGAGTTCCCAACTCCGAACTTACACCTGGCCTAACCCAACCATTGCAGGTATTTGGAGAATGAGCTATTTGATGGGAGAGATCTGTCTCACTCTGTCTCTGTGTCTCGCTGACTTTCAAGTTGATTAATAAAAATGTAAAAACTGAAATTATCTGGTCTAAAATGTTCAGAGTGTCAAAGTCAAGAAACCCTGATCTCAATCCCCTTAGTGTGTTTTAGCCCAAAGGGCAAAGTTCCTGGCTGATGTCACTGGCAGTTTTGTCATAGAATAGTCTGGAAACGTCACTACTAACAGGAGGTTGTGGTGTATTCTATTGGCTTCACCTTCTGAGATCTCAGTTACCCATGGTCAGCCATGGCCCAAAAATACCAAATGGAAAATTCAATGAAAAATTCTAGAAATAATTATGTTTTAAATAATTTTTATTGTAATATATTGTTATAATTGTTCTATAACTCTAGTATTGTTAATTTCTTACTGTGCCTACTTTATAAACTTTTTATTTAAAAATTTATTTAAAAGGCACAGTTAGAGAGAGAGATCTTTCATCTGCTGGTTCATTCCCCCGCATGGCTGCAGCTGCCAGGGCTGGACCAAGCCAAATCCAGGAGCCAGGAGCTTCTTCCAGGTCTCTCAGGTTGGTGGCAGAGACCCAAGCACCTGGGCCATCTTCCACTGCCTTCCCAGGCACATTTCAGGGAGCTGGATCAGAAGTGGAACAGACGGGACTCAAACCAGCACCCATATGCAGTGCCATCTTCACAGGTGGCAGCTTAACCTAGTGTGCCACAGCACTACCCCTTATAAATTAAACTTTGCCACCGGTATATCTGTATGGGAAAAAAACATAAAATAGATCACATTTTCCACTGTCCATATTTTTGACATCCACTGGGAGTCTTGGCATGTATCCCCTGCAGTTAAGGGGGCGATTCTACTTCCTTTCTATCTTTTCTCTGCATTTTAACAAGTCTGAGATCAAACATACATACCGTACACACACACACACTCACACACACACGCACACACTTTTGTACCTTTTTTCATTTTATTATTTAAAACATTATTTATTTGAAAGGCAGAAAGACATGAGTCAGAGAGACAACTAGATCTGCCATCATCACTGGTTTACTCACTGAGTGCCCGCAACAGCTGGTGATGGGCCAGGCTGAAACTGGCAGCCGGGCCCTCCATCTGGGTCTCCCAGATGGGTGGCAGGGACCCAACTCTTGAGCTGTCACCTGCTACACTTCAATATGGGATGCTGGCATCACAAGTGGTAGCTGAACTCACTGTGCCACAATGCCAGGCCCTTAAAAATGTATTTATTTATTTTCATTTCATTTGAAAGGCAGAGAGATAGATCTCCCATATGCTGGTTTATTCCCTAAATGTCTACAACAGCTCAGACAGGGCCAAGCTGAAGCCAGGAGCTACAAAGTCCATCCAGGTCTTCCAGAGGGGGCAGGGACCCAAGCACTTGAGCCATCACCTGCTGCCTCCCAGGATGCAGGTTATCAGGAAGCTGGACCAGAAGAGGAGGCGGGACTTGATCTCAGGTGCTCCTACATGGGATGCCAGAAGAGGAGGCGGGACTTGATCTCAGGTGCTCCTACATGGGATGCCAGTGTACCAGGGGCAACTTAACCTCTGGCACCACAACACCTGACCCTAGAAAGTATAATTTGACACCACACCCAAGAAATATAAAAATATAAGTGATTCATTGGTTGCTTTTGTTACCAAGGCGAGTTCCTTAATGGCTTAGGGCTCCTTTGCGATTAGTTGTACTGTGTTTTTTGTTTTGTTTTGTTTTGTTTTGTTTTGTTTTGTTTTGTTTTTATTCATTTAAGAGACAGAGAGACAGACTGAGAGACCTCCCACCCACAGGTTTATTCCCCAAATTCCCACAACAGTCAGGACTGGACTGGACTGGACTGAAGCTGGGGGCTAAGAACTGAATTCTCCCGTGTGGGTGGCAGGGACCCAGTACTGGGGGAGCCTTCACTTGCTGCCTCCCAGAGTGTGTTCCAGCACTAAGCTGGAACTGGAAGCAGAGTTGGAACTTAAACCCAGGTACTCCAGTGCAGGACTCGGGTGTCTTAACAGCCTTTCAACCACTAAACGCCCCCTGCTATGCTGGTGTTTGACTGGCAGCCACCCAATCACTGGATCTTCTGACCCTGGAGATTGTGTGCCTTTTAACCCTCCTGAGGATCTGGAAGTCATCCCTGGTCTGTAGTTGTAGAAGCATTACATTTTCCTTCGGGCATAGACTCAGACTTGTTTAACCTTCAGTTCATGTTTGAGTTCCACATGTTGCAGATGCTCCATGTAGCATTTATGTATTGAATGCAGATGTTTTACAAATGGCACAAGATATCCCAGGCAAGAGGTAGGCATTGGTTAAGATGCTAACTGGGTTGCCTGCATCCCATATCTGAGTACCTGGGTTCAGTCCCCATCTCTGGCTCCTAACTCCAGCTTCTTGCTAATGTAGACCCTGAGAGGCAAAGGTGATGGCTCAAATAATTGAGTTCCTGCCATCCAGGTGGGAGACCTGCATTGAGTTTCCTGCTCCTGTCTTGAGCCCTGGCCCAGCCCAGCCATTGCAAGCACTGGGGGAGTGAACCAACAGTTGCAAGCATGTGTTCATTCTTTCTGTCTCTCTCCTCCCTACCTCTCACTGCCCCCCATCTCTGCCTCTGAAATAAATAAATATTTTTAGAATATTTATATATTTGAAAGTCAGAGTTACAGAGAGAGGGGGAGACAGAGAAAGAGACCTTTCATCTGCTGGTTCACTCTCCAGATGGCCACAATGGCCAGCACTGGGCCAGGCCAAAGCCAGGAGCCAGGAGCTTCTTTTAGGTCTCCACATGGATAGCAAGGGCCCACACACTTGGGCCATCCTCTGATGTGTTCCCAGGCACATTAGCAGGGAGCTGGATTGGAAGTGGGGCAATCAGGAGATGAACTGGCACCCGTTTGGAATTCTGCCATTGCAGGTGTTGGCTTTACCTGCTACAACACAATACCAGTCCGTAAACAAATAGTTTTTTTTTTAAAAAAAGAAAGAAAAATAATTCATTCTTGGTATGCTGTGGAGCAAGTATGGGACTCATAGATCTGAGTTCAAACCCTGCCGAGCAGCTCACAAGTGCTGTGACCTGGGGAAGAGGATTTAAGTTTTCTAGCTCCGGTGTCCTGTCTGCGGAGTGGAACTACTTTCCATCCACCTCCTGTGGCGAGTAGAGACAGTGGGGCTGGCAGAGTACTCAGGAGGAGGGCGCCGGTTAATGCACCTGTTCTGTAAACTCCATGCTTTGGTCTAAGAGGAAAGATGCTTCTGTACACCCACCCAGGCAGCAAAGTTTTATTCTCAGCTTGGAAGAGTGTTGCTGAGACAGAGCAGCCATGTGCTGGCCATGTTACTTTAAACAAGGTGTCCGTGTATATCTGCTTCAACTTGTTTCTCTGTATAACAGGAAAACTAGGAAAACTGGCATTCAGTTAGCAATTGCTACTTAGTGTGGACTGTTATTCTTTCTGCTGAAATTGTAATAACATTGTTTTCTTCCTTTTAACAGCCACAAATTTTCTGGGAAATTTGGTGAATGGGCACAGGGCAAGGATCAAAGGCAGAGTGGAAAAGGGTTCAGAGAGGGTATTCAGAGGCCTCATTCTGGACTGTGCTGGTGGCTTTGGGGGGATTTTGGTCTGTCTGGGAAAAGTCTAAACATCATTCTTACTCCTTGACATTTTTTAATCTGAGTATGGGATTGGGGTTTGAAAGGTGACTCTGTCCAGCTCAAGAGTCAAGGTCAAGGTCAAGGTCAACCTGGGTGCTTGTCTTCTCTCAAACCAGAAACCAGGTCTTGGAATACGCCAGAAGTGACCAACCTTCCACCATCTCCAAGAACATTCCACACATCGTCGGCAGCCATTGGAAGCCAGCTGTATGTCTTTGGGGGTGGAGAGAGAGGTGCCCAGCCCGTGCAGGATGTGAAGCTGCATGTATTTGACGCAAGTATGGACCGACAGGCACCTCAGGGCTGCCACCTAGCGGGTCAGGGCCACCCCGGCCGGCGGCTTACCTGATGTAGGAGGCAGAGGTTAGAAAATAAAACCTTGGCTGAGTGTCTCATGTGGAGGCTTCACTGGTATATTCACTAGCTCTGATCTTCTTCTCCAGCACACTTTATACTTCAAAAGGTAGTAATTGGGGCCAGCGCCATGGCTCACTTGGTTAATCCTCTGCCTGCGGCACCGGCGTCCCATATGGGCGCCGGGTTCTAGTCCCAGCTGCTCCTCTTCCAGTCCAGCTCTCTGCTGTGGCCCGGGAGTGCAGTGGAGGATGGCCCAAGTGCTTGGGCCCTGCACCCCATGGGAGACCAGGAGAAGCACCTGGCTCCTGGCTTTGGATTGGCGTAGCTCTGGCCGTGGCAGCCATTTGGGGGGGTGAATCAACGGAAGGAAGACCTTTCTCTCTGTCTCTCTCTCTCTCTCCCTGTCTAACTCTGTCAAATAAATAAATAAAAAAGTTTAAAAAAAAAAAAAGGTAGTAATGATCAATTTAGAAAACTGAAAACTTAAACAGCGAGCTGCGAGCTGGTGCTGTGGCATAGTAGGTAAATCTGCCGCCTGTTGTGCCAGCATCTCATATGGGCGCCGGTTCAAGTCCCAGCTGCTCCACTTCTGATCCAGCTCTCTGCTACGGTCTGGGAAAGCAGCAGAGGATGGCCCAAGTCCTTGGGCCCCTGCACCCCCATGGGAGACCCACAGCTCCAGCTGTCGCAGCCATCTCTGCCTCTGCCTCTCTGTAACTCTGCCTTTCAAATAAATAAATAAATCTTAAAAAAAAGAGAAAACTTAAACAGCATACTTTATAAAGTAAAAGTTCTCCCTTTAACCCTTCCTTTCTATTCCCCGGAGCTAAACCCTGATAGCAATTCCTACTGTCTCCTTCCAGACTTCCTGATATATTTATAAATCCTATGTGTATGTGAATATGCACTTATATTTGAATTTTCTATGATTTTGAAAAGTTACATAAAAAACTTAAAACACATACATGGAATCCAATTATAAATAGTGTTCGACAGCTTGCTTTTAGAGGATGGGGTAGATATTAATCAAATGCATCAACTGTGACCCCAGACAACCTGAATGAGCACCAGATCTGACAATGCTTTGTGCTATTTCAGGCAAATTAGTTAATCTCTCTGGGTCTTAGTTTGCTGGTTTGTTAAATAGAGATCATAGTAGTCCTTATTTATTTATTTGAAAGGCAGAGTTACAGCGACGCAGAGAGAGAGAGAGAGTTCTTCCATCCACTGGTTCACTCCCCAAATGGCTGCAACGGCCAGAGCTAGGCTGATCCAAAGCCAGGAGCCAGGAGCTTCTTTCAGGTCTCCCACTCAAGTGCAGGGGCCCAAGGACTTGGGCCATCTTCCAGGCCATTGCAGAGTGCTGGATCAGAAGTGGAGCAGCGATGGGCTGCCGTCACTGCAGGCAGCAGCTTTACCTGCTATGCCACAGTGCCAGCCCTGAACATTGATGTTTATATAAGTTACAAACATTTATGTGGGATAGATGCTGAGAAATGCAATTGCTGAGTCAAAATGATACACACATTTAAATTAATTTTATCTCTCTCTTTTTTAAATATTTATTTATTTGAAATGCAGAATTACAGAGAGAGAGGGAGAAACAGAGCAAGTGAGCAAGAGAGAGAGAGGGAGATTATCCATCTGTTGATTCACTCCCCAAATGGCCACAAAAGCTAGGACTGGGCCAGGCTGAAGCTAGAAACCAGGAGCTACATCTGAGTCTCCCACATGGGTGGCAGGGGCCTAAGCACTTGGCCCATCTTTTGCTTTCCCAGGTGCATTAGCAGGGAGCTGAATTAGAAGTGGAGCAAAGCCGGCGCCGTGGCTCACTAGGCTAATCCTCCACCTTGCGGCGCCGGCACACCGGGTTCTAGTCCCGGTCGGGGCACCGGATTCTGTCCCGGTTGCCCCTCTTCCAGGCCAGCTCTCTGCTATGGCCAGGGAGTGCAGTGGAGGATGGCCCAGGTGCTTGGGCCCTGCACCCCATGGGAGACCAGGAAAAGCACCTGGATCCTGGCTCCTGCCATCGGATCAGCGCGGTGCGCCGGCTGCAGCGGCGGCCATTGGAGAGTGAACCAACGGCAAAGGAAGACCTTTCTCTCTGTCTCTCTCTCACTGTCCACTCTGCCTGTCAAAAAAAAAAAAAAAAAAAAAGAAGTGGAGCAGCCAGGACTGAAGCTAATGTCCATGTAGGATGCTGGCACTCCAGTTGGCTGCTTAACCCACATGCCACAGCATCGGGCACGGAGATCTCTTCAAGTTGTTGCTTAAGGAATGTTTACTTATAATTCTGTCTCTTACTAGTAGGCATTTATAATAACAGTCTACAAATATTATGTGACAGAAATACTTTTCATCCATGTTTCACAGTAAAGATACAGCCCTTTTCAAGAAAATTCAATAAGTAACACTGCAAACTTCCACAATAAAATTGTGAGAACCACAGTACAACTTTTCACTTTCCAGACATAATAGGCTGTATTATTCTTATAAAGCAGTTTTAAAAATTTTAAATAATATCACTTTTTAGTAAATAAAGCTATTAGAAATAAATTCTGTATTTATAGTATGTAGTATTGTACACGTGTATATTTGTATATAATATTATCACCCCAGAGTTACTATTAATACCACCATGCATTATCACTTTTTTAAATATCAGAGATAACTTTATATGTAATATTTATTAAGTGTTTCCCTATGAGGTTGCCAAGCCTTCAACTTTTTTTAAGATTTATTTTATTTATTTGAAAGACAGTTAGAGAGAGGGGAGTTACAGATGGAGATATCTTCCTTTCACAGATTCACTCCCCAAATGGCTGCAACAACTGGGGCTGAGCCAAGGTGAAGCCAGGAGTTTCATCCGGGTTTCCCACATGGGTGCAGGGGCCCAAGGACTTTGGCCATTTTCCACTGCTTTTTCCAGGTACATTAGTAGGGAGCTGAATTGAAAGTGGGGAAGGGGCCAGCGCTGTAGCGTAGCCAATAGAGCCACCATCTGCAGTGCCGGCATCCCATGTGGGCACCAGTTGGAGACCCAGCTGTTCTACTTCTGATCCAGCTCTCTGCTATGGCCTGGGAAAGCAGTAGAAGAAGGCCCAAGTGCTTGGGCCCCTGCACCCACATGGGAAGACCCAGAGGAAGCTCCAGGCTCCTGGCTTCGGATCGATGAATCTCTGGCTGTTGCAGCCAATTGGGGAGTGAACTAAGAACTCTCTCTCTGCCTCTCCTTCTCTCTCTGTAATTCTGACTTTCAAATAAATAAATTAATCTTTAAAAAAAAAAAAAGTGGGGCATCCAGGACTCGAACCAGCAGCCATTTGGGATGCCGGCATTACAGGCAGAAGCTTAACCAGTTATGCTATAGCACTGGCCCCTTCAACACTTTTAATAGCTACATGGTGTTCTATGATGGCTATATCAAGTTACCATTCATCGTTGATGAATATGTAGGCAATTCCCAATTCTTCTATTATAAATGACACTATAATGGATATATTTATGGAGAAATCTTTTCAGATTTAATTTTTTAAATAAGATTTATTTTATTTATTTGAAAGAGTTACAGAGAGAGGTAGAACCAGAGAGAGAGAGAGAGAGAGAGAGAGAGAGAGATCTTCCATCTGCTGGTTCACTCTCCAAATGACCACAACAGCCAGAGCTGAGCTAATCAGGAGCCAGGAGCTTCTTCAGGGGCCCAAGGGCTTAGGCCATCTTCTACTGCTTTCCCAGGCCATAGCAGAGAGCTGGATCAGAAGTGGAGCAGCCAGGACTCGATCTGGCGCCCATATGGGATGCCAGCACTGCAGGCTGGGGCTTTAACATGCTGCACCACAACACTAGCCCCCAGATCAGTTTAAATTATATTCCCTGGGATACTGGGGGCTCCTCGAACAACCAAGCCAGGCATGCCATAATTCAAAGCTAAATTGTTTGGCAGACTTTGATTTCAAAATTTTTTTTTTAATTTTTTTTATTTATTTTTTATTTATTTTTTTTTGACAGGCAGAGTGGACAGTGAGAGAGAAAAGAGAGAGACAGAGAGAAAAGTCTTCCTTTTGTCGTTGGTTCACCCTCCAATGGCCACCGCATCGCGTTGATCCGAAGTCAGGAGCCAGGTGCTTTTCCTGGTCTCCCATGGGGTGCAGGGCCCAAGCACCTGGGCCATCCTCCACTGCACTCCCGGGCCACAGCAGAGAGCTGGCCTGGAAGAGGGGCAACCGGGAAAGAATCCAGCACCCCAACCGGGACTAGAACCCGGTGTGCCGGCGCCGCAAGGTGGAGGATTAGCCTATTGAGCCACGGCGCCGGCTAGATTTCAAAATTTTTTTAATAGACCTTTAAAACTGGAGTGTTGGAATGACGATTAATTTCCCAGAACTTCTGTATGAACAGTTTGGCAGATATGAAGGGTTGCCTATCACAGAATGCCTCTGCATGGTTAGTAGATGATAACCATCTCTGTAACTGTAACTCTCACGTATTGACTCTCAGAGCCCATGCTTTATGCACATTCTCTCATCCGATCTATCTCAACCCTAAGAGGTAGGTGTGTCGGATAGCATCTTTATCCACATTTTAGAGCAGTAAAAACTGAAACTCAGGGAAGTCACTGGCACAAGGACACAGTTGTTTGACATAACTCCAAATCCTACATTTTTTTTTTTTTTTTTTTTTTTGGACAGGCAGAGTGGACAGTGAGAGAGAGAGACAGAGAGAAAGGTCTTCCTTTGCCGTTGGTTCACCCTCCAATGGCTGCCGCGGCTGGCGCGCTGTGGCCGGCGCACCGCGCTGATCCGATGGCAGGAGCCAGGAGCCAGGTGCTTCTCCTGGTCTCCCATGGGGTGCAGGGCCCAAGCACCTGGGCCATCCTCCACTGCACTCCCTGGCCACAGTAGAGAGCTGGCCTGGAAGAGGGGCAACCGGGACAGAATCCGGTGCCCCAACCGGGACTAGAACCTGGTGTGCCGGCGCCGCTAGGCGGAGGATTAGCCTAGTGAGCCGCGGCGCCAGCCCAAATCCTACATTCTAACCTTTATCCTATATTGCCATATCAGGGGCTCTGCTCATTTATTTGATTTTAAAGTAGTCTTTTTTTCGCCCCTACCCTTCCAGCAAATCAAAGATACTGTTTTGAAAAAAGACTTTGAGGGGCTGTCAGAGGAAAAAGTAAACCCATTTATTTTGGGGGACAGTTCTAGGTTGAAGCTCAGGGGCAAACTTTTTTTAAGCTTTTATTTTTTTTAATTTGACAGTGTGAGAGAGAGAGAGACAGAAATTTTTTTTTAATTTATTCATATAAAAGAACAAATTTCATTTATTTCACATATATAGGTTTTTTTAAAAGATTTATTTATTTGAGAGGCAGAGTTACAGAGAAGCAGAGGCAGAGTGAGAGAGGTCTTCCACCTGCTAGTTCACTTCCCAGATGGCTCTAACAGCTGGAGCTGTGCTGATTCGAAGCCAGAAGCCAGGAGCCTCTTCCAGGTCTCCCATGTGGGTACAGGGGCCCAAGGACCTGAGCCATCTTCTACTGCTTTCCCAGGCCATAGCAGAGAGCTGGATCAGAAGTGGAGCAGCCAGGACTTGAACCAGTGCCCATATGGGATGCCAGCACTGCAGGCATTGTCCTTACCTGCTACACCACAGCACTGGCCCTTCATATATACAGCTTTAAAAAAAAAAAAAGATTTATTGATTTATTTATTTCTTTGGGAGTCAGAGTTACACACAGAGAAGGAGGGGCAGAGAGAGACAGGTCTTCCATCTACTGGTTCATTCCCCAGTTGGCCAGAATGCCCGGAGCTGTGCCAACCCAAAGCCAGGAGCCTGGAGCTTCTTCTGGGTCTCCCACGTGGGTACAGGGGCCCAAGGACTTTGGCCGTCTTCCATGGCTTTCCCGGGCCACAGCAGAGATGCTGGATAGGAAGTGGAACAGCCGGGCTAGAACTGGCGCCCATAGGGTTTTACCCACTACGCCACAGGGCCGGCCCCTCGCGTACACAGTTTTAAGAACAATGAGGGGCTGGCGCCGTGGCTCACTTGGTTAATCCTCTATCTGCGGCACCGGCATCCCATGTGGGTACCGGGTTCTAGTCCCAGCTGCTCCTCTTCCAGTCCAGCTCTCTGCTGTGGCCTGGGAGGGCAGTGGAGAATGGCCCAAGTGCTTGGACCCCTGCACCCGCATGGGAGACCAGGAGGAAGCACCTGGCTCCTGGCTTCATATCGGCATAGCTCCGGTCGTAGTGGCCATTTGGGGAGTGTACCAATGGAAAGAAGACCTTTCTCTCTGTCTCTCTCTCACTGTCTCTGTCAAATAAATTAAAAAACATTTAAAAAGGACAATGATACTTTTCTTATTTCCTCCCTCTCTCCTCCTCCCTTTCATATTTTAACTTTCAGTTTACTTTACAATCACAAGATTAATCCTCCAGTAAATAAAGAATTCAGCAGGCAGGTAGTGGAAAGACCACTGTTCTTCAGGAGCATAGACAGGGGCTATAAACAATAATCAAATCTCAATATTATCTAGAAATTTCACTCATATGCATTACATTTTTTTTTACTCTATGTATTAGACACATTTGTCTTTTTGGATGTGGAGAAAAGATACCTAACTCACTATTGGTGGGAAAGTATACTATATGGAAGACAGTATGGAGATTTCTCAGAAATCCCACTTCTAGGAATTTACCCAAAGGAAATGAAACCAGAATTTCACAGTTATCTGTACCCCCATGTTTATAGCAACTCAGTTCACAATGGCTAAGATACGGGGTCAACCCAGGTGTCCATCCACTGATGACTGGATAACGAACATGTGGTATATGTACACCAGGGAACACTCCTCAGCCAGAAAAAAGAATGAAATCCTGTCTTTCACCCCAAATGGATGCAACTGGAGACCACTGTGCTTAGTGAACTTTTAAAATTCAAAGCAAGGCTGGCTTCCTGTTGCCAAGCAGAGGGACAGGCTTGTCAGTGGTGGGCTCTGCAGCCTTGAGCATGTCCAGCCCGAGACTGGACAGGCTGTAGAGGGAGGGAGCCTGGACTGGGTTGGGGAGTTGGGGTGAATGACCTCACATTCTCTTCCTGCTCGGAGCATCTCTTGCTCGCTAGGAGGTAACAAGCCTGCATTTCTCACGTCCTTGCTTTGTAGTTTTGCCATTTGACGCCAATGAACTTTGCTTTCCTAGATACTCTGACTTGGTCACAGCCAGAAACACTTGGAAGACCTCCTTCTCCCCGGCATGGCCATGTTATGGTGGCAGCAGGGACAAAGCTCTTCATCCATGGAGGCTTGGCAGGCGACACGTTCTATGACGATCTCCATTGCATTGACATAAGTAAGTAGGGGGAGGCATGGGGGCTTGTCTGCCTGACATTGTAAAAGCGTCTCTGGACGAGCCTTTCTCTTACAGTGAGTGACTCAGCCAGCTGGTAGAATCTTCGCTAGATTCTGCCAAATGCCTGAATAATATCAAATAATAATAGTGATACATGCAATCATTCCTGAGCACTTACTGTGTGCATGGGTATTTATTATCTCTTAGCCTTCCAACACCCCTGCTCTCTCACTGCAATTCATTATGCTTTTGTGTTACCCAGTGGGATTTCCTTCAGGCATTAGCCCATGGGGGGCCTGGATAGGGTGCAGTGTTGGTCTGGAGGTAGGTGGCCAGAATTGTCATACCAAACAGTTGAAAACCCTGTTGTTGGAGAGTACATGAGCACTCTCTGAGTACCTGAAGGGCCAGTGTGGATGCCCTGGTGGACCTGGGCTCTTTCTGGGTCATTCCTTTGGGCCATGAGCTCCCTTAGGGCAGGGACTTTGTCTCGTGTTCCCCAGTCCGTTTCCAGCACTTAGCACAGTGACTGGTAGAACGTGGTGACGAGTGCACTTCTGTTCATGAACACAATTGGATGTGTTCTGTGTTGCTCCCCACCACCCCGACTGGAACAATAGGCAAAAGGCACAGGAGCGCCAATGCAGAGTAGGCTACCTTGCCAAGCACTGGGTTTTCTGGTTGGGTGACATCTGAAGCCAGGGGACACTGGATGGAATTCCTGTTTTGGCTAGAATTTTGGCCAGTTTGGGTGATTCTTCCCTCCTAGCCTGAGTTGCTGGGCCCTGCTTTACATTCACAAATGGAGCTGTCTTCACAGAAGCATCCCTTGAAGGCAGTCAGATGGGTTTATTTAAGATAATATGAAAGATCTTTTTTAAAAAAAATTTTAATGTATTTGAAAGGTGGAGACAGGGAGAGAGATATCAATCTTCTATCTACTGGTTTCCTCCCCAAAATGCCCACAATAGCCCGAGCTGGGTCAGGCTGAAACCAACCTGGAACTCAATCTGGGTCCCCCAGGTGGGTGGTAGGAATCCACGTACTCAAGCTATCATCTGCTGCTTCCCAAGATGCACCTAGGAGGAAGCTGGATTTGAACCCAGGCCCTCCAGGATGGGATGTGGGCATCCCAAACTGTGTCTCTACCACTGTGCCAGATGCCCACCCCAGTGTTTTTTGTTTAAGATTTATAATTATTGAAAAGGTAGAGTTACAGAGAGGGATAGAGAGAAATTTTTCCATCTACTGGTTCACTCCCCCAAATGGCTGCAATAACCAGGGCTGGGCCAGGCTGAAGCCACGAGCCAGAAATTCCACCCTGATCTCCTCTGTGGGTGGCAGGGGCCCAAGAACTTGGGACATCCTCCTCTGTCTTCCCAGGTGCATGAGCAGGGAGCTGAACTGAAGTGGAATAGCTAGGACTCGAATCAACACTCTGATAGAGGATGCTGCCTTCACACAATGCCAACCTCCCAATGTTTATTTAAAAGTTTTTTTTTTAAAGATTTATTTATTTATGTGAGAGGCAGAGTTACAGAGAGAGAGAGAGAGAGAGAGAGAGAGAGGTCTTCCATCTGCTGGTTCACTCCCCAAATGGCTGCAATGGCCAGAGCTCTGCCAATCCAAAGCCAGGAGCCAGGAGCTTGTTCCAAGTCTCCCACATGGGTTCAGGGGCCCAGGTACCCAAGCTATCTTCCACTGCTTTCCCAGGTCATCAGCATGGAGCTGGATGGGAAGTGGAACAGCTGGAGAACAAACTGGCATCCATATGGGATTTCCGGTGCCGCAGGCAGAGGCTTAACCTACTATGCCACAGAGCTGGCCCCAAGCTTTATTGGTTTGAAAGTCAGAGCTACAGAAAGGGAGACACAGAAAGATTTTCCCTCTTCTGGTTCACTCCCCAGATGCCCACAATGCCCTGGGCTGGGCCATGCCAAAGCCAGGAGCCAGGAGCTTCATGTGCTCTCCCACATGCGTATAGCAGGGGCCCAAACACTTGGACCATTTTCTATTGCTTTTTCCAGGCCATAGCAGGGAGCTGATCGGGATAGAGCAGCCAGGACTTGAACCGGCACCCATACAGGATGCCATTGTCACAGGTGGTAGCCTTACTCGCTATACCACAGAGCTGACCCCTAGTGTTTATTTTTAAAAAGAAAATTCTCGGGCCAGCGCTGTGGTGTAGTGGGTAAAGCCACCGCCTGCAGTGCCAGCATCCACATGGGCGCCGGTTCAAGTCCCTGCTGCTCCATTTCTGATCTAGCTCTCTGCTGTGGCCTGGGAAAGCAGTAGAAGATGGCCCAAGTCCTTGGGTCCCTGCACCCATGTGGGAGACACAGAACAAGCTCCTGGCTCCTGGCTTCAGGTCGGCACAGCTCCAGCTGTTGCGGCCATCTGGGGAGTGAACCAGCAGATGGAAGACCTCTTTCTTACTCTCTCTGTCTTCTGTCTGCCTCCTTCTCTCTCTAACTGATTTTCAAATAAATAAATAAATCTTAAAAAAAAAAAAAACCTTTCTCTTGTGCTGAGGAACTGCTTTCTGTTTTTTCTACTTACCCAAATGGTTCTCTATCCCACCCTTTTTTAAAAGATTTACTTATTTATTTCAAAGGCAGAGTTACAGACAGGGAGAGGGAGAGGGAGAGAAAGAGAGAGAGAGAGAGGTCTTCCATCCACTGATTTACTCCCCAAATAGCCTCAATGGCCAGAGCTGTGCTGATCTGAAGCCAGGAGCCAGGAGCTTCTTCCAGGTCTCCCACTTGGGCACAGGGGCCCAAGGACTTGGGCCGTCTTCTGCTGCTTTCCTAGGCCACAGCAGAGAGCTGGATCGGAAGTGGAGCACCCGGGACTCAAACTGGTGCCCATATGGGATGCCAGTGCTTCAGGCCAGGGCATTAACCTGCTGCACCACAGCTCCGGCCCAGATATCCTAACTTATTTAAATGCTTGTTTGAGGCAGGCATTTGGCCTAGCAGTTAAAGACACCCACATCCCACATTAGAACACCTGGATAGATACCTGCCTCCAGCTCCTGATTCCAGCTTTCATGCTATTCAGACTCCTGTAGGCAGCAGAGATTGCTTGAATAAATGGGTTCTCGTCACCCACAAGGGAGACTTGGAGTGAATTCCCACCTCTGTGTTGGCTGTTATGGGCATTTGGGGAGTGAACCAGCAGAGGTGGGAGCTCTGCTTCTCTCTCTCTCTTTTTTTTTAAATATGTATTTATATGAAAGAGTTACACAGAGGAGAGGCAGAGAAAGAGAGGTCTTCCGTCTGCTGGTTCATTCCCCAGATGACCGCAACGGTAGGAGTTGTGCCGATCCAAAGTCAGGAGCCTCTTCTGGGTCTCCCACACGGGTGCACAGGCCCAAGGACTTGGACCATCTCGTACTGCTTTCCCAGACCATAGCAGAGAGCCAGATCGGAAGTGGAGCAGTTGAGACACAAACCAACACCCGTATGGGATGCCAGCACTGCAGGTGGCAGCTTTGCCCGCTATGCCACAGCACCAGCCCCATCCTCTTTTTTTTTTTTTTTTTTTTGACAGGCAGAGTGGACAGTGAGAGAGAGAGACAGAGAGAAAGGTCTTCCTTTTGCCGTTGGTTCACCCTCCAACCCTCCAATGGCCGCCACGGCTGGTGCACTGTGGCCGGCGCACCACGCTGATCCGAAGCCAGGAGCCAGGTGCTTCTCCTGGTCTCCCATGGGGTGCAGGGCCCAAGCACTCGGGCCATCCTCCACTGCACTCCCTGGCCACAGCAGAGAGCTGGCCTGGAAGAGGGGCAACCAGGACAGAATCCAGCGCCGCGACCGGGACTAGAACCTGGTGTGCCGGCGCCGCAGGCAGAGGATTAGCTTATTGAGCCGCGGCGCCGGCATCCTCTCTTTTTAAAAACAAGTTTCAGTGTGTCTTTGAAACAGTGCAAGTGCAGGTTAGGAGTAGGCACAGAGGCAACTCCTTAAAGTATTAGGGAACACAGGTTTTGGCTCCCAACCTGAGTACAATTGTAGTTCTGCCACTTCTGTGGCTCGTGCGCACACACACACGCATATGCACACACACCTTACCTATCTCTGGACAGTTAAGGAACAGAGATGAAGGCTACCGTAAAAAGTGTATTTCTTGGTTGCTCTGAAGACCACCATCAAACACCCGGGATGCCTGTTAAAATTCTGGAGCACTGAGCCTCTCCCCTGCACTACCATCAGTATTTTAAGCACCCAGGTAATTCTTACGCCTGCCAAAGCCTGTTCTGTTGCTTCGGAGCTCTCAGCCAAACCGCATTCGGGTAAGTCTGAAACCGCGTTTTAGCCCCTGTGTGCCAAAACATTTTCCTTTCTCTGGGCAGGTGACATGGAGTGGCAAAAGCTAAGCCCCACTGGGGCTGTTCCCGCAGGCTGTGCTGCCCACTCGGCTGTAGCCGTGGGGAAGCACTTGTATGTCTTTGGTGGAATGACGCCCACAGGAGCACTGGACACGATGTATCAATATCACATAGGTGAGCTACTGGCACCCAGTCTTTACGCAGATGTGAATGTCCCTTGAAAAATGCTACAGTGCTTTAGCTTTCCATTGGGTTCTGTGTAAATCCAAAGGAATGAAACTAAACATCCAGGCAGGGGCTTCATTAAAGCAGTCACTTTACTAGTAGCTTTCCCCCCTTGATTTCCTTTTTGTTATGGCTGAGCTGATGCTGTAAATAACTGAGCATTTCTGGAAATTTCTTAACGTAGCTTAACAGTCTTTCCTCGCCTCCTCCAACATAGAAAATCAACATTGGACCTTGCTTAACTTTGATACTTTTCTACCTCCTGGACGACTGGACCACTCCATGTGTGTCATTCCATGGCCAGTGACATCTGCTGCTGAGAGGGAGGATCCAGCCCCTGTCCACTGTGAAGCCGAGAAGGGCGTTTCTGATGACGGAGGGATGACCCACTGTGGTGACTCATGTGAGGAAAGTCAGACTGATGTACTGCTGTGTTTTGTATTTGGTGGGATGAATACAGAAGGGGAAATCTATGATGATTGTATTGTGACTGTAGTTGACTAATAAAATTCAGGTTTTTTCAGAGATTTGTTTGAAAGTTAAAGTGACAGACTCCCAACTGTGGCTCACTCACTTCCCAAATTGCCACAAAGTCCAAGGCTGAGCCAGGCCGAAGTCAGGAGCCTGGAACTCCATCCAGGTCTCCCATGTGGTTGGCAGGGGCCATCTGCTGCTGCCTGCCCAAGTGTATTAGCTGGGAGCTGGAGCCTGCGTTCACGGGATGCCAGCGTCGCAGATGGTGGTTTAACTTGCTGTGCCACTCCAGCCCCCAAATTCACTGTCAGCAACTCTCAGAAAAGTGAGACACTGCTATACCTCCAATCATAGGCACTACATACCCGGGTGGCTCTCATCTATCAGGTAGGTCAAACTGGACAGGCCAGTGCAACAGGCATTTTACTAGCAGGACAGCCTAGGAGAGCGAGATTTGATTACTACGCTTACTATGAACAGTTTGTGGAGTCAGTCATTGGCCACACCATCAGCTGTATACATGAGTACACGTTTACCAGTTTAAGTCTTCAGGGTATTCAGCAGCTGCTTAGAAAGGAACAGACTGTGGGTGCAGGGTAGTGCAGGCCATCAGGGTCGGGGTTACAACTGCCTCTTGAAGCTCCTAATTATAATTACTCCTTCCTCTCCTCCCCAGGGCACATAGCACTTTGCAATGGGCTTGACCTGCAGACCTCCTGTTACTACACTCCATGCTGGTCCAAATGCTTCTGGGACAGTGCAGGAGAGGCCTGTTTTAACACCCCTAGCAAATACTCAGCCAATTGCCCATCTATAATATCTGCCCTTGGGCAGTACTGGATTTCACTAGACAGTCTGCCCTTTAATGATCCTACTCTAGCCCACCCCCTCCCTCAGAAAACCAAGCTAATCTTACACCTGTCTTGACAAAAACCATTGCCATGGCCGGCGCCACAGCTCAGTAGGCTAATCCTCCACCTTGTGGCGCTGGCACACCGGGTTCTAGTCCCGGTTGCCCCTCTTCCAGGCCAGCTCTCTGCTGTGGCCCGGGAGTGCAGTGGAGGATGGCCCAAGTGCTTGGGCCCTGCACCCCATGGGAGACCAAGAGAAGCACCTGGCTCCTGCCTTCAGATGACCGCGGTGGCCATTGGGGGGTGAACCAACAGAAAAAGGGAGACCTTTCTCTCTCACTGTCCACTCTTGTCAAAACAAACCACCCACACACACACACTGCCTAACCCACAATCAGTTGGGGGCTGCCTTGGTGTAGTTTTGGTGTCCCCATCCTAGATCCCACCCCAGTACCACTAATGAGAAATTTAAGGAATGTTAGGGATTCTTTTTTTTTTTTTTTTTTTTGACAGGCAGAGTGGACAGTGAGAGAGAGACAGAGAGAAAGGTCTTCCTTTGCCGCTGGTTCACCCTCCAATGGCCGCCGCTGCAGCCGGCGCACCGCGCTGATCCTGGCAGGAGCCAGGAGCCAGGTGCTTTTCCTGGTCTCCCATGGGGTGCAGGGCCCAAGCACCTGGGCCATCCTCCACTGCACTCCCTGGCCATAGCAGAGAGCTGGCCTGGAAGAGGGGCAACCGGGACAGAATCCGGCGCCCCAACCGGGACTAGAACCCGGTGTGCCGGCGCCGCAAGGTGGAGGAGAATGTTAGGGATTCTGACACATTTATATCCTAAAATTACAAACTAGGACCAGTATGTAAAGTTAAATTATCAGGTCAATTCTTGGGAATTCAAGAAACTACAAAGCATCAATAATAAAGTCACCAGCAAGGAGAAGAATTTTCAGATGTGTTTAAGAGTTTTGGGCATCCCCAAATGGCCCTTGCCTAGATAAGGCTATGGGTGAACCTCCTTCCCATTTTCTCAGATGAAGGCTAAGCACATTCTCTGGCAGTACGTAATGGAAGTGGTTCCTTATTCTCAACATCCCAGTATTTCCCCCCTACCACCACACCCTAGAATCTAACCTTAAGTTTTAGTTATCTTCTTGAAATAAATGATTGATCTAATGAGAAGCTGCTCACAAAAATTAGACCAGTGTAAATAACAAACATTTATTGGTGTCACTTATGGTAGAAAAAAGTTCCTACACCAGATGCACATGACCCAGTTGTTAAATAGAACATTTCCAAGGTGAACACACCCCCTAACCCAATGTTAAGATGGCCAATTCCTTCTGTCCCCCCACCCCAAGACATGTGAGCAACTGCTAATGAAAAGCAGTAAACAGCCACTTGGGCTATAGCATTTTCAACTCCACTCCGAGGTGAAGATTCCAATTACATTCGAGACTTAAGTTCTCTCAATTTTCTCCTAACAAAAGTTCCTGAGTCCAGTATTTACAATGTTACAGCACTAGCAGATCAGTGTCTACAACTCATCTTTTTCTGCTGTATCCTCTTCACCAGTTGGAGGAGGGCCTGCACTTCCATAGAGTTTGCTGATAATTGGCTGAACAATTTCTTCTAGTTCCTTCTTTTTAGCTTTGAAGTCTTCAATGTCAGCATCTTGGTGGCTTTCCAGCCACTCAATCTTTTCCTCCACAGCTTTCTCCATGGTTTCCTTATCTTCAGAGGACAGTTTGCCTCCCAGCTTCTCTTTATCGCCAATCTGATTCTTCAGTGAGTAGGCGTAGCTCTCCAGCTCGTTTCTGGTGTCAATGCGCTCCTTGAGCTTTTTGTCTTCCTCAGCAAATTTTTCAGCATCATTAACCATCCTTTCAATCTCCTCAGGTGTCAGGCGGTTTTGGTCATTGGTAATTGTGATCTTATTCTTGTTCCCCGTGCCCTTGTCCTCAGCTGTCACACGAAGAATACCATTCACATCTATCTCAAAGGTGACTTCAATCTGCGGGACTCCACGGGGAGCAGGGGGAATTCCAGTCAGATCAAATGTACCCAGGAGGTGATTGTCCTTCGTCAGAGGTCGTTCGCCTAGAAGTCACACACAGAAAAGCCTGTTATTGACAAACACAGTCATCCTCGTCCCTACATTTCAGGTAGGGCTATAGTGGTAAGGGCACTTCATCAAGTTGAGTCCACAAAGAGCAGCAACTGGGACTAAGTTACTAACAGAATCTCCTCTACTTTCCAGCATGGGATTTTCATTCTTGTATTCCAGAAGCTGGTTCGGAAGTTATTTTAACAGGAAAAAGTGCTAAATAGCTAGATAAGTGCTGACTGTGAAACTCAACAGCAAAGGACCCCCCCACCCCAATCTGAAAACAGCAGCTACTTCTTTCACTAGCTACTGTAATAAAGAACACAAAATAAGTTAAACATACTACAGTATTAACAAACGCAAGTAGTTACCTTCATAGACCTTAATTGTAACCGTTGGCTGATTATCAGAAGCTGTAGAGAAGATCTGAGATTTCTTGGTGGGCACTACAGTGTTTCTTGGAATTAGTTTGGTCATGACACCTCCCACAGTTTCAATACCAAGTGTAAGAGGACATACATCCAGCAGCACCAGGTCACCTGCAAAATAAATTAATCACTTTAATTCAAAAGTTACATACACTACCAATCTCCCCATGAACTAAGGTTATCTTTTCTCTTACTGTCTGGCTAGGTTCTAAGCACAAGCATTTTAGAGGCAGTGAATGAAGACATTTGCTAAGGACCTTGAGACTGCTCTGGCCTTGTCTTCACTGGACACTAGTTGTGACCTTACTGCTCACAATCTATTGTTTTCTAAAGCAACAGCTAAGTCTCCCCATCGAGATGCTGAGGTGTTTTGAAAGATGCTAATGACCTACCTGTATCTTGATCACCAGAGAGTACGCCAGCCTGGACGGCAGCACCATACGCTACAGCCTCATCTGGGTTTATGCCACGGGATGGCTCCTTGCCGTTGAAGAACTCTTTAACCAGTTGCTGAATCTTTGGAATGCGAGTAGAGCCACCAACAAGAACAATTTCATCAATGTCAGACTTCTTCAAATCAGAATCCTCCAACACTTTCTGGACAGGTTTCATGGTGGACCGGAACAGGTCCTACAATAAGAGATGGAGTCACTGTGATGCCTGTTATACCCAGACAATGTCTAGATATCACCATCCTAAAGTCAGAGTCTAACTAGATCTCATTAGCAAAGCAGAAACCACAAAACATACCATGTTCAGCTCTTCGAATTTAGCCCGAGTCAGGGTCTCAGAAAAGTCTTCTCCTTCATAGAAGGACTCAATTTCAATCCTGGCTTGATGCTGGGAAGACAGAGCCCGCTTGGCCTTTTCCACTTCACGCCGGAGCTTCTGCACAGCTCTGTTGTCTTTCCTGACATCTTTGCCAGTCTTCTTTTTGTACAGCTTGATGAAGTGCTCCATGACACGCTGGTCGAAGTCTTCCCCGCCCAGGTGAGTGTCTCCATTAGTGGCCACGACTTCGAAGACACCATTGTCAATGGTGAGAAGAGACACATCAAAGGTTCCACCACCCAGGTCAAACACCAGGATGTTCTTCTCTCCCTCCCGCTTATCCAGACCATAAGCAATAGCAGCTGCAGTACTGGTAAGAGAATGAAAAGGCGGGGAAAGCTTAGTCAAATTCACATTTCCCATATGTGGCAAATGTGCCCTATCATCGAATTTCACTTACGGCTCATTGATGATCCTCATAACATTCAGTCCAGCAATAGTACCAGCATCTTTGGTTGCCTGACGTTGGGCATCATTGAAGTAGGCTGGTACAGTGACAACTGCATGGGTAACCTAAAAGGAGGGTAAGTATATTTTGTCACATGGTTTAACCTTTCAATTATAGCCAAACTATCACTTTAGTAGGTAAGCAAGTTCACAAGTAGGATAAGCATAACACATACAATTTCCCACACATGGAATTGCACGTAAAAACACATGAAAAAGTGTCTAGTATTTTGTTTGGCCTACAGTAAAAGCACCAATTACACCTGACCCACACGGATGTCATTCAGATTCAAACGTTTAAAACCATGAAGGCAGCTATACATACAAGTCAATAACAGTTAACACACTTAACACTGCGCTAACAAAACTTACCTTTTTTCCCAGATAAGCCTC